GATATTAATTCCTTCCTTCTGCTGACTTTGGGCTTTCTTCTTTTTCTAGTTAGATTGAGATTTTTGTTTGTTTGTTTCTTGAGGTAGGACTGTATCATTATAAATTTCTCTCTTAGAACTACTTTTGCTAAGTCCCAAAGATTTTGAACCATTGTGTTTCCATTTTCATTCGTCTCTAGGTATTTTTTTTATTTTTATTTTTTTAACGTTTATTTATTTTTGAGACAGAGAGAGACAAAGCATGAACGGGGGAGGGTCAGAGAGAGGGAGACACAGAATCTGAAACAGGCTCCAGGCTCTGAGCTGTCAGCATGGAGCCCGACGCGGGGCTCGAACTCATGGACCGTGAGATCATGACCTGAGCCGAAGTCGGCCGCCCAACCGACTGAGCCACCCAGGTGCCCCTGTCTCTAGGTATTTTTAAATTTCCTCCTTTATTTCTTCATTGACCTATTGGTTGTTTAGTAGCATGTTGTTTAGTTTCTGTGTGTTTGCATTTTTTTCTAGTAATTGATTTCTAGCTTCATACCATCGTGGTTGGAAAAGATGCTTGATACGATTTCATGCTTTTAAAATTTATTGAAACTTGTATTTTGGCCTAACATGAGAGCTATTTTGGAGAACATTACATGTGCACTTTAAAAGAATGTATATTCTGTTGTTTTGGGATGGGATGTTCTGTATATATCTGTTAAGTCTATCTGGTCTTAATTTCCTTCTAAACTACTGTTTCCTTATTGATTTTTTTGCATGGATGATCTATCTAGTCTTGAAGTGGGATTTTAAACTCCTCTACTATTATTGTATTACTATCAATTTCTCCCTGTAAGTCTGCTCATATTTGTTTCATATGTTTAGGTCCTCCTATGTTGGGGTCAAGGGGCAAAGAGAGAGAGGGAGACAGAATCCCAAGCAGGCTCTGTACTTTTGGCACAGAGCCCGATGCAGGGCTTAAACCCACAGACTGTGAGATCATGACCTGAGTTTTTTTTGTTTTTGTTTTTTTTTTGCTTCCAATATCTTTTTCCACTTCTTCACTTTGAATCTGCTTGTGTCTATGTGTCTTTAGGTCTGAAGCGAGTCTTTCATAGACAGCATATAGATGGGTCTTATTTTTGTATTCATTCAGTCATCCTGTGTCTTTTGATTGAAGGATTTATCCATTTACATTTAAAGTAATTATTGATAGGTATATACTTATTACCATTTTGTAAATTGTTTTCTGGTTGTTTTTTGTAGTTGTTCTATACTCCTTTCTTCTTGCTCTCTTCCATTCTGATTTGGTGACTTTTTTTAGTGTTGCACTTTGGTTCCTTTGTCTTTATTTTTGCATACTTATTACACATTTTTGGTTTGTGGTTACTATAAGACTCATGTATGACATCCTCTGTATGTAACACTCTATATTAAGTCGGTCATTTAAGTTTGAACATATTCTGAAAGTACTACATTTTTACTCTCCTCCTCCATGTTTTAATGTATATGACATCATAGTTTTATATCTTTTTATTTTGTGTATCCCTTAACTAATTTTTGTAGGTATAATTGATTTTACTACTTTTGTCTTTTACCTTCATACTAGCTTTTTAAGTGATTATGTTATTACTATGTTTGCTTTTGCCAGTGAAATTTACTGGTGAATTTACCAGTGAAATTTACTTTACTTTTTGTGTTTCCTTTCATAATTTTCTTCTAATTATGATCTTTTCTTTTCCTCTTAAAGAGATCCCTTTAACATTTCTTGTAAGGTTGGTTTAGTGGTGATGAACATTTTCAACTTTTGTTTGTCTGAAAAACTATCTCCCCTTTAATTCTAAACAACAACTTTGCCAGATAAAGTATTCTTGGTTATAGGCTTCTTCCTTTCAGCCCTTTGAATATATCATATCCCTCTCTTCTTGCAAAGTTTCTGCTGAAAATCTGGTGATAGCCTAATGGGGTTTTCCTTCTATGTAGCTATTTGCTTTTCTCTTCCTGCTTTTAAGATTCTCTGTAATTTCTGCCATTTTAATTATCATGTGCCTTGGTGTAGACCTCCTGGGTCCATTGTGTTAGGGGCTTTTTGTGCTTCCTGAACCTGGATGTCTGTTTTCATCCCCAGGTTAAGGAAATTTTCAGCTATTATTTCTTAAAATAAGTTTTCTGCCCCATTCTCTCTCTCTCTCTCTCTTTCTCTTTCTGGGATCTCTTTAATGTGAAGAGGTTAGTGTTAGTACACTTGATGTTGTCTCAGAGGTCCCTTCATCTGTCCTCATTAAAAATTCTTTTTCTTTTTGCTGTTCACCTTGGGTGCTTTCCCCTACCCTGTGTTCCAGATTGCCAAGCTGTTCCTCTGCATCCTCTAATCTGCTGTTGATTTCCTCTATTGTTCAGTTACTTTTAGTCCACTCTGATTTGTTCCTTTTTATATTTTCTGTCTCCTTGTTGATGTTCTCTCTGAGCTCCTCTACTCTTCTCACAAGTCAAGTGAGCATCCTTATCACCATTACTTTGGATTCTTCAGCAGGTAGATTGCCGATCTCCACTTTGCTTAGTTCTTTTTCTGAGGCCCTGTCATCATCTTCTGTTTGGAACATATTCCTCTGTGTCCTCATTCTGTTTGACTCTGTGTTTGTTTCTGTGCATTAGGTAGGGTAGGTATGTCTCCCGGTCTTAAAAGTAACGGCCCTGTGCGGAAGTGCAGTCTCCCCTGGTCACCAGAACCAGGCACTCAAGGAGTGTCCCTGTGTGGGCTGCTTGCACCCTCCTGTTGTGACTGGGCCACAACTTGTGTGGTGTAATGATGGGCAGGACTGGCCCCTGGTGTGGCTGGCTGAATGGCTCGTCTGTGGCCGCTGCAGGCGTGCTGGTGTGTGGTGCCAGCTGTCTGCTTCCCCAGGGCAGGTGTCACTTTGGAATGGTGCCAGTCCTGGCCGAGGCTGCCTTCCAGGTGTGCTGGGGCAGGAGCCACTTTGGAGGGACACCTGCTGGGACACGTGGGGTGGGTGGTGTGGGCCCACAGGGGAATGCTGGTGGGGGACGAGCGATGCCAGCAAGGTGGATGAAGTATCAGAACTGGCTCCTGTAAGCAGCCAGCCACCTAGGCTGAAGGAGGGCAAGAAAAATGGCGTCACCAGCACTTCCATCTCTGGAGAAATCTCCTACAGATTCCTGCCCTTTCAGCAAACGTGGTAAAATTAGTCAATGAATCTTCTTCACATTTAAGCCAGGTGCTTTTCAAACTGCTGCTCTCCTGTTGGGTCTCAGACTGAGTGATGTAGCGCACTGGCCCTTTAAGAGCAGACTCTTGGTTTCCTATAGCCCTCCAGCTCTCCCACAGTTAAACCTACTGATTTTTAAAGCCAGACATTATAGGGGCTCATCTTTCCGGGGCACATCCCCAGGGTGGGGATGCCCAGTGTGGGGTTTGATCCCCTTGCTCCTCAGGGAGGACCTCCTCAGGGAGGGAGCAGACCTCCTCTGGGATGGTATTCTCCCCACTTGTGGCCTGTGTGCCTGGGGTTTGGTTCCCGACCATGTCTCTGACCCTCCCACCCTTCTTGATAGGACCTTCTCTTTACGTCATTAGCTGTGGAATAGCTGGTCTGCCAGTCTTCAGGTGGTTTTCAGAGTGAGCTGCATTCTGTGTACTTGTTGCCCCCCTGTGTCTGTGGGAGCAGGTGAGCTCAGGGTCCTCCTCCTTCACCGTCTTCCCCTGCTCCTAATCTGTGTCTCTCAAATTTGTGTTAAATGCTGGACCTTATGTGTAACAGGACAGTAGTGACCTAGGTAAATAGTATTAATGCCTAGAAAAGAACATGCCTTCATTTTACCAGGTCATCAGTGTGGAGTGTTGAGCCACGGCTGGGAGTTGAATGGTGGGCACTGCTACCCCCTACTAGTATGGGGCCTGGAGTGCTAGAAGTCTCTTCGGTGTTCTGGCTTTCAGGAGGCCCTGGGGCTTCTTTCTCCTGTGCCTGAGTAAATGGGGGTCTGGCTCTTTCTCTACACTCTTACCTGTTAGCCCGCCTCCAGTGGTAGGCTGCTGTTGTTACTTGGGGCAGGCTCATGGGCAGAGGGGGGGTGGGGGAAGAGGGTTTTTTTGAGGCTCTTTAGCTCTCTTGTGGCATCAGTCTTGGGCAGGTCTCGGGTGGGGCTCTCTCAGATGTTCTTGTGTCAGTAGAGTGGGATATCCTGGTTCTTTTTCACCTCTGTGCACTAAGTGTGTTGGGATTAATTTGCACATTGTTGGGAAAGGCCCCTTCAGAAGCTATTGGCATTTGGTTATTTGAACTCCAGCACTCCACAGAGTGAATTTTGAAGATTGTAGCTCTGACCCCATCATCTGCTGAAAAGCCGTCTAGGACACCCATGGCCCTCAGGTCAGAGGCTCTGAGCTTTGCAGCCTCCAGCCCCTCACTCTGCCCTTCCTTCAGTTACTGAAGTCTTGTCTGTCTCCCTAGGCCAGCCCATCAGTCTTGAGGGCAGATTCTTGTTCTCTGTGTACTGCTAGAGATGAAATGGTGCCTGGTAGGGTCTCAGCAACTGCCTTAGGTGGGCGAACAATGAGTGCAAGCCTAGAAAGCCCTTACCTCCCCTGCATTCCAGCAGATAGACAGACACCTGCCAGGTCCAGGTTCAGGCACACATGTCACAGAGAGGCCTTCCTGGGGGCCACCCTACTTCTCAAGTTTAGAGAGGAGCCTCTCTCCTGTGCCCCCAGCCCTGTGTTTGTCAGCCCTGGCAGGGATCTCACAGTACTGATCTCCCGTGTCTACCTCTGCTCCCTCCTTCTAGTTCCCCAGCACAGGGACTTGCCTGCCAGGCCTTCCTCCCCCAGCCTGAGGTGGGCACTTGGTGAGCCTGTGGGGACCTTTGCGGCACTGATGCAGCTGCCCCAGCTTTGGGCTGATTCTGCAAGTGCATGTCAAGTTAAAAATTTTAAAGCTTCTTTTCCTGTTTTAGGAACAGTGAGTCATCACACTCCTTTTGGTGGATGCACGAGGACTTGGGCTGGAAGCATGTGGAGTGTCCTGCGAGGCTGGAGGAGAAGGCATCTGAGCGCATGGGGAGCCCTGGGGCGGCAGCGGCCCCCCAGTGTCCGTGCTCTGGCCAGCGCGGGCCCCGGGACTGGGGACGAGTACAGTCACGTGGTGGTGGGTGCGGGCTCGGCGGGCTGCGTGCTGGCCGGGCGGCTCACCGAGGACGCGAACAGGTGTGTGCTGCTGCTGGAGGCCGGGCCCAAGGACATGCTCGCCGGGAGCAAGCGGCTCTCGTGGAAGATCCACATGCCCGCGGCCCTCGTGGCCAACCTGTGCGATGATAGGTACAACTGGTGCTACCACACGGAACCGCAGCCAGGCCTCGACGGCCGCGTGCTGTACTGGCCGCGCGGCCGGGTCTGGGGAGGCTCGTCGTCGCTCAACGCCATGGTCTACATCCGCGGGCACGCAGAGGACTACAACCGCTGGCAGCGGGAAGGCGCGGCCGGCTGGGACTACGAGCACTGCCTGCCCTACTTCCGCAAGGCGCAGAGCCACGAACTGGGTGCTAACAGGTACCGCGGCGGCGACGGGCCGCTACACGTGTCCCGGGGCAAGACCAACCACGCGCTGCACCGCGCCTTCTTGGAGGCGGCGCAGCAGGCTGGCTACCCCCTCACTGAGGACATGAATGGCTTCCAGCAAGAAGGCTTCGGATGGATGGACATGACCATCCACCAAGGTAGCACAAGGCTCCCGTCCCCCATCTCCCTGGTTCCTCCTTTTGCCCATCACAGCCCCATCCCCCTTCCCCCATCATGGTCAGTAAGTGAGGATAAACGGGCATCCCCCTGCCCCCATCATGGTCAGTAAGTGAGGATAGTATGAGGCCGAGATGACGGAGGTCTCACGCCCCCTACAGGCCACAGAATACAATTCGTAGCCAGTGAGAAATGACTTGGAGACAGACTCTCGGGCATCCTTTAGGCCTCTGGCCTCTGTTGTGGAGAGTCAGCTCTTTGACCAAAGAGACTTACAGATAAGGAAACTGAGGCAAAGAGCACTGAAGTGCCTTGCACACAGCAGGACAGAGGCAGGGCCTGGGTTGACCCAGGGCCCTTGCCTGCCTTTATAGAGTTCTTACCCCCTTGTATTAGGTGCTCCTGGTCATCCTGTTGGGAGTGGAGGGTGTTTTTCCACCCCAGATGGATGTGGATTTCAGTCCTGCAGAGACTTGGTTTTAGCCCTACTTTGCAGGCAGAGCTTGTCCTGCCAGGGGAAGGGCACATTCCATCTTTCTTCAGCCCCAGCCCCACCCTCCCACGCCCACATCAGGCAAAGGGGCAGGGGCTGTGCCTGATCGCCTTGCTCTGTCTGCCAGGCAAGCGCTGGAGCACAGCCTGTGCGTACCTGCACCCAGCACTGAGCCGCCCCAACCTCACCGCCGAGGCCCAGACGTTTGTGAACAGGGTACTGTTTGAAGGCACGCGTGCAGTGGGTGTGGAGTACGTCAAGAATGGCCAGAGCCACCGGGTGAGTTACTTCCAGGCTGGCGCAGTCGAGATGGAAGGGAATGAGCAATCACCCTAGTGGTCATGCTTAGTGTGGGTAGCAGTTGGGCTCTTGTCCCCAGGGTCTCAGAGGTGAGGAAGCCCTCAGTCCAGCCACCTGCAGAGAGCCCATGGTGGCTCCTGTGAGCCTCTGTCTGCCCCTCCCCACCTCAGAGCAGGCTCCTAGAACCTTCCATACCTTTTGAGAAATTGATAGGTTTGTACTAAGGCTTTAAAAACCACAAATGTGATCATAATCCATATTTCAACACTACACTTTTTAAAAATCCATTTATTTTTGAGAGAAAATGTGCAAGCAGGGGAAGGGGCAGAGAGAGAGAGAATCCCAAGAAGGCTCCATTATGTCAGCACAGAACCCAATGCAGGGCTTGATCCCATGAACTGAGCCAAAATCAAGAGCCAGATGCCTAACTGGCTGAGCCACCCAGTGCCCCCAGCACTATGCTGTTCTCCACTTAGCAGTGTGTCAGGATCTGCCTCTATGTGAAGTCTGACTCACTGCTTGCTTTATTGAAGCTGCTTGTTGGAGTGTCTGGGGCTCTACAGTCCCGTTGTTAAGACCATCGTTACAGCGTGACTGTTGCAGAACGTATCAGCATGTGAAGCGCGCTTCAGTGTTGCACCCGCACCCGGGAGCTGCGTGTGTGGAGTGCCCTTCATGGAGCGGCCCACTGAGCATCCCCTTCCTTACTCTGGGGCCTGGGAACGGGATCCCCACCCACCACTCGGGGACATCACACCAAGGCCACGCTCTCGGTGTTCTGTCTCGCTTTTCGGGAAGCGTGACCTGCGTGCCTCTGCCTCTTCCAGGCTTACGCCAGCAAGGAGGTGATTCTGAGCGGGGGCGCCATCAACTCTCCACAGCTGCTCATGCTCTCGGGTGTCGGCAACGCAGACGACCTCAGGAAACTGGGTATCCCGGTGGTGTGCCACCTTCCCGGTGAGCTCCCTTTGCTGCTGCTCCTCAGAGGGGGCCTCTGCTAATAAAACAGCTTATTGAAGTGCATTAGCGTGGAGCTGGGGAGGGGGCAGCAGTCAGCTTTCCTCAGAACGGCCACATTCTTCCCATGAGCCTCACTGGACAGCCCTATCCCAGGGACCCCAGTCTTTGTGTTGTTTTTCCCCTTTCCTGGCCCTACTGTCCCACTGAGAAGTGATGCCCCTCCAGCAGCGAGCTTCCACCCGAAAAGCCCACTGGGCCAGGCTCGGATATGTCACCAGGGCAGCCCAAGGGTGAGAGGGGTCCAGGCCTATGTGTTTTCTGTCCTCAGGACTCAGCAGCAGCCCTGACATTAAAGAAGCCAACTCGGTGTTTCAGAGCATGCTTTTCATGTTAAGACAATTATTCCAAGCCTAAAATTTATCTTACAAACTGTCTTTAATGCCCATTAGGGCTTCTTATCTCTCTTATAACCCAAACTGCCCCAAAATGACCCTTTGTGTATTGAGGCTTTATCAGAAGAGGTTTGTGAAAGTGCTGGCCTGTGACAGTGTCTGCCCAGCATGACAAGCCCTGATTCCCTCCTTCCCTGGAGGTGCAGGTGGGGCCCTCGGTCCATCTGACAACAGCTTACTGAGTGGTGCCTGCTGAATGCCTGGGCCCTACCCTCAGGGAGGGTGCTGCATGGCAGGAAGGCATCGGGATGGTTACAGGGACTGCCCCGGGAGTGAGTGATAAGGGCAGGTGGCTTGGGCAGCATGAGAGGACTAGACTTGGCAATGAGCGTAGGGATGGCGTCCCAGGAGGCAACCTTTAAGCAGAAACCTGAGGAATAAGCAGGAGCTGGCTCAGCAGGTATGTGGATAGGTTTAGGGGAAGTTTTCAAAACCAGGGTAAGTCAAGAGGCCAGGTACAGCTAATAAGCCCCTCTTGGAAGCCATCTTTCCTAACCATTCCCTCCCATTTCAGGAGTTGGCCAGAACCTGCAAGACCACCTGGAGATATACGTCCAGCAGGCATGTACCCTCCCCATCACTCTCCATTCAGCACAGAAGCCCTTGAGGAAAGTCCGGATTGGTCTAGAGTGGCTCTGGAAGTTCACAGGTGGGTGTGCTGGTCTGGGACCATAGTAGAACTGGTCTGTGGTCAGCACAGCCTCCTTCCTAAGGTGCTGAGCAAGGGCTCTGGCTTCAAGTCACTTGTTCAGAACTTAGCTATACCATCTGCCTCAGCTTTCCTATCTGCATGATGGGGATACATAGTCCTGCCTGGAAGGCTGTTGTGAGGACCAGATGAGGTGGCCCAGGGCCTGTCCAGGGTGAGACTCCCGAACCTGGGTGCCACTCTTCCTTACAGATAGCCAGGGATGGCCTCATGCTGGACACCCTCTGGGCTCCAAGGAGCCTGGAGAAAAAGCACACTCAGCATCCATTTCTCAGCAGTTTGTTTGTTTCGGAGTCCCAGAGCAGTCCCCCGGGTAGGAAGTGGTGCTTTGAAATCGTATTCAGCATGTGTTTCTCCCACACCTGCCACGTACTGTGTGCTGTGCCAATAAGGCAGGTTCCCTTGGGGAGCTTACACTTTGGTGGGGTCAGTGGAAAGAAACCACGTAAACATGCTTAAGTTTTAAGATCAGGGTGTTAATAAAGTAGAGAATGGTGACAGAGTATATCTGAGAGCTAGGGAGAGTATGTACAAAGGCCCCAGGTCTAGGCATCTGGTGTTCGAAGAACAAGTCTGTTGGGCCAGGGAGACTGCAGCATGTTGAAGAGAAAGCAGGGGTGCGATGGAAGAGACTCCATCATGAGGGTAGGCCGGGACACCAGCAAGGAGTCCACTGGAGCTGCCAGTGAGGAGGGGGTCTCAGCCTGGG